GGTGAGTAGGACACACGATTAAAGCTCTCTCGCTCAAGCATATCAAATTTTAAAGCTAATTCTTTCTGGCAAGTGGCGCGTACTATCATCACTTCTGCAAGCGTCAGGCCAAGGGTTTGTTGGGAAAGTCTCAGTTTGAGAAAATTCATCTGCAAGTTAGTATTACTTCGTCGCTATATTTGCTGTTTTGGCCGATTATTTTTCGAAACCTTACTTTGTTACTTGCGAGATCGCCGCTATCACGACGAGATTAAGTAAGAGGACCTCCCTACGTGGTTATCAAAACTTCCTGTGAACATAATTTGGGCTAAATTATATCTAAACTGATACCGACATTCAGTTACCATGAGGTGACGAATAAAAAAGGTCGTCTGATATTTCGAATAAGAGAAGTACAGCGTAACAGGGATAAACAAAGAGCTTCCGCGTGGTCACCAAGCCTTAAAAAGACTTTGTTTTGACTGCTGCGTTCTCACTAAAACATGAAATACTGATTTGAAGAAATAAGAGACAAGATTGTTTTCTGTTAAGATCAGTACAAGAAAGAGTAGAATAAGAGTAGAGTTTAGCAGATCCCGACCCATAATCTTTCGTGACCCATAAAAATAAATGTATAAAACTAGGAGCTCATTGTCTGCCACTGCTAAAACACCTTAAACTCGACAGAACTGAAGAGAAACTAGAGTGTCCCAAGGTAAGAAAAAGGATTACAAACAGTCCTCGTTTAGCATTCACCGTCGCACGATAATTTTGAAGTCGGCGTGATATTCACGCGGAGTCAACACAATTTTGCCGGAAAAGGCCGGTGAGTCGGGGTTGTAATAGATGAGTAAAAAGTCTCACTTACCGTTTTGTCTGCTATAAAGCCCAGTGCTATCGCTGAGAGGGCGTTAAAACCGGCAAAGAAGAAGAAAACAAGACCAATCTGTACACTATTTTGACCCAGCTATAAGGAAACAGATAAAGACTTATGAACAAAGTTGTACACGTAGTTTATGCGCCAAAATAAATTTGCTGAGGAAGATTTCGATTTCGATATTACTAAATATCGTAACTTATCACCAATATCGAGGTTAGATATAAAAAACCAACTTACCTTCCTTAACTGAGGCGCCAAGATTGGTTGTATGAAACCATAACACAAGCAACCGATAACAGAGGTAAACTCTGGGTACAAAAAAAGAAATGTTAACTTTCCAATAAAGTTTTCGCTTGGAAAGAATTAAGGCCACAAACAAAGGGCGCCACTAGTTTTTGCGGGGAATTAAGTTCACAAAATGATGGGTAAAGAGCTATGTATGGGAGCCATAGTGATAAATTTCGTTTGGGAAAAAAATCGTATGCAGCTAAATTTGTGTGATACTTATCCTAGATGTTCAATCTTGATTTTTTTTTTTCATAATCAGAATAGAGTCGTGAAGTAAGTTGGAAACAAAGCTTGCAATTTATTTGCCGGTTTGACGGCACGAGCTGCAAAAAGACTGGCTCGAATTTCTCGTGCCCAGCCCATCAACGGCCTCGCTGATTGTGTCGTAGCACGCTGACAGCTTGCTCGCGGGCTGTGTTATTTATAGTTAATGGCTTACCCAGGATGCTTGTGAAACTTACCCATCATAAAAACAGCGGGAATCTTTAATGGTCGCATAGATTTACAAATGGATATGCTTTCCTTTGATTCATCATCTTTCTGACTCTCTAATCAGTTAAAAAAAATGGAAATGTTTCAAGTGGATAAATATATCAAAAAGAAAAGTACTAAGTCTAACGGATAGTTTACATGAATTACCTCACCAACCTGTTTCGTGTGATAGCAGAAAAGCTAAAATTCCAGTGCTACATAACAGAATTATACCCATAATGATGAAAGGAAGTTTGAAGCCTCCTACCTGAAACAAAAATATGTATATCATGGAATGAAAAAAGGATTTTGTTATTGAGGTGCAACATTCCTAAACTTGAGCCTACAGTTCAAAATGACTAAAATAAAACACGCATGATTCCCTGTAACTCTGAGTTTCGTGCTTACGCACTCGTCACTCAGTCAGACAAATTTGAGCCTATATTTTGAAATCAAGGGGTATTTAGGTATATATAATGAATATTACATGACCATAAGTGCAAACGAATTTTACCTTCGAGCGTTGATGATGTCTATCAGGAGTGAACGAAGCGATCGAATGAGAGATATTACCAATACGAGAAAACTGTTGACACGACCGAAGACCACGTGTCAAAGCAAAGTCAGTTTTAACTTGTGCAAAAAAATGATAAAGCATTCCTCGCAAGCAAAAAAAATCTCCCGAAAGAACGCATTATGATGTGTAGACACTTTTCAAGTGGTCTCAGCGCATTTTCCATTATTCTCAGTGCATTTTCACTTTTAATTTTTTTTCGATTAAGCCAAGTTCAAATACGCGCCTCTCTCAAGGTAAACGCCCATCACGAGTAAGCCCCCCCCCCTTCTTCCTCACTTTTTTTCAGCACGAGTGATTATAATCGCCAAACTGCTTACGTGCGTAATTGCATGCAGCTTTAGATGTCCGTAACCCTAATTGTGGTTACTACTTTGAACAGGAAAGGTTTGTAAAAATAACGAGTACCGGTAGCACTGCTAATTCATTTATGGGTTCAGCTCTGAATATTGACGCTCAACCTTTGCGCAGAAGTTGTATTGCAAATAAATAAATAAATAAAATGATGATCTAAGATAATTTAGATAATCTCCCCCATTTTTCTTAATCTTAAATTGAAATCCCTGTTTTACCAGGTTTGTACTCACCGTGTAGAGAAACCCTCCGAAAACTGGAGCAAAGGAATTTCCACCAAGACAAGATAGCTGCATTCCTGCCTAAACAAATGGATTTACAAGGGAAAAATCACTCTTTATATCATTCCAAGAAAAAGTAAAAGAAATATATAATTAAAGATTTGTCTTTCTGGTAGAACTAAAAGAGCAACAATCATACCGTCTGAATGGAACAGAATTTAGTCTCCAGTTCTGAAAATCCCTTACTTTACTAACGCTTTTTTACATTTTTTTTTTAAAGATTCGACTAGTCACTATGCACAGAAGTGCGTCGATACATGTCCGATACTCTTTGAAGTGAACCGTGCGACAAGTCGGGCTGTGACTGTATTTGGATATCACAATGCAAAAAAACCTGAACGAAATAAGCGGCAATCAGAAAGTTGTACTTGTTCTAAATAAATGTCAGTGATCAACAGTCCAAAATAAAGCGCTGCGGAGAAATTTGAAAACACGGGTTCATTCACACACGGTTAGGTCGTCCTCCACACTAATTCGGATTTAAATCGAGCTTTCCAAACATAACAAAGTCACTGCTTTTATATTTTGGCAGAATGAGCACTGTTATCATGTTTGGAAATAGTGGTTGCAGCCGTTGGTTGTCGCGTATACAAATTTATCCGGCGTACTGTGGACAGAAAACGTTTCATCCGTTTGGACGGATATAAGTTACTTGCGTTACCAGAGTGAAAACGTCGTTTTCATATTTATCTAGCATAGTTTGAACGGAGCCTTAGGATAACAGCTCATGAATTATTAACATCTGAATGCAAACATACAGCAATTGCTCCGGTATTATTTGGAAACCTCTGGAGCACGAAAGCGAGGACAGAAGTTTCAGCTGCCGCTGCCCCAATTGCTGATGTTATTCGTAACACAAAGCAAAAGACTATAAACATTGTTGGATCAAAAATCACTTCGCCAAATCTAGAAAACAAAACACATTTAAACACATTATATCCTCATAAAAGAATTCACAAGAAATAAAGTTCTCAAACCTCTCTCGGTATTAAAGTTATCATCAGGGATCGGTCATGATTTATCGCCTGAGGAGTTCCGGGAGGGAGGGGTGGTTGGCTCGGTAATATTCTTACGACCTCCCCCCTCCTCATGTCAACAGTTAACTGGCAGTCAATATTCTACAGTTCCCCCATTATACTCTGTTGGCGGCGACTGATCCCTCCATTACCCTTTGAATATCGTCAAATCCTATGGGTGATGTTATGCGCAGTACAGCCTGCGCAATAAAACATTAAGGAATCACATTAACTAACTAACTAAAGTATCAAGTTTTGTGCTTACCCCATTAACATCAAAGATGTTCCAGCGATAAAAATACCTGTTAAAAGTA